GAGAGCCTAGTCGAAACATAGGCGATCACGCGGGGAACTTCCCCTTCCTTAATGCGCACCATTTGCAGCCAGTCGGGATGCTTTGGTGCGCCGATAACCTCATCGCCCTCCATACTAGTGGTGGACGGTGCGTGCCTTATGAAATTCCAAGGGGTTTCTTGGAAAAATAAAATCTGTTTTTACAAATTTCGAGGAGAGTGTCTATGTGTGCATAAGTATGACGAACATTCTGACAGTAAATACGTAGCCCGCTATTTAGATCCTGCTGGTTTCCCAACATTAGTCTAGGTTCGGGGGTTAGTAAGTTGGCGGCGAGCAGCAAGCTCACATACTTGACGATACTCGGCCATGATCCACTCACGGTCGTAGCGATGAGCCCAGAACTTGCACGAAGCCGAGTTGGCGGCATGGTCCTTGTGGCAATTGACACAGCGGCCCTTATGGGGGCAAGGCTGGTCGCGAGGGGTGGGCAGCACAGGGGGTTTCGCTTTCGTGTTGCCCTTGCAACATCCCGCATGTTGGCGGTGCTCCTTCTGCTTGTGCGGACCCGAACAGATGGGGCAAGAGAGTTGTTTCGCCTTGCAGGCGACAGTGGGGTGGCCCCACTTCCAGCAGCGCTGGCATAGTGGGACCCCAGTGTGACGTGCAGCGGGCCTGATTGCGCAGGACCACCCAGCGAGGAAGATCGGTTGGCCTAAGGCCTTCTTGGCGTGGGTTCCCTGCTGGGAGTCCCAGATGTTGCAGTACACGGTGCACGATGTCGAGTGCGCCGAGTTGCGGTCGATCCGAGGCTTGGTGCTCAGATATGCGAAAACCTCAGTGTGAACCGAGGTACGGAGGGCCTTTTCAAGCGCCTCCTGGGTGATCTTCAACCCTTTCGGATCGAAGTAGGGAACATCGAGTATCTTTATAAAAGATGTCGACAACGGAAGCGCAACCTCGAACGGAGTACCTGTTGGGAGGCTTTCGCGTATGAAATTGCGCAGTACATCCAGATCGGACGGGCTGGCAACAGCGGGGGTGACCAACGACAAGCCGTCGTAGGCGCGGACGATGGAGGTGACCTTCAACATAGATCGCCCATCCCTGAGATATCCGTTGGCTGCACGGACAGCCGACTCGGTGAAGAATTTCGTGAGGTCGGGAGGGGTACCCCCGAACGACACGAGAACCTGCTTCCAGGTGGGGCCCTCGGAAGTAAAGGAAGGAACGGACCGATGAGGTGAGGTCTTCATCGGACCCGTTGGGAATACGGGGGGAGGAGAAGGCCCACGACGTTGCGGTCCCAAACCAGGAGGCGGGGGAGGCATCGGAGCAGCCTGTTTAGCAATCCCTGCCCACGTCGTTGGACGGGGCTTGGGTTTAGTGGCGCGATTGATCGGCGGGGCGGACCAGGGCAGGAGTAGGCCACCTTGCTCTTCTGAGGAGGAGGAGGTGGAACCGGGCGATCAACACCCTTATGCTTCTTAGAAGCGGGGATGCGAGGAGGGGAGGCTGGACGACCAAGATCGTCCAATGCCTGCATGAGGACATCGGGAACGCTAACGACGCCCTCATCGAGCGGCCCATGGGCAGCAGGAGGAGGAGGCCTGAATACGGGAGCAGGGTGAATAGTCGGCTCGTCCTTAGAAGACGTCTCAGCCTCAAGGAGAGAGGCGAGCGAGAAGTTGTCGAGTTCGCCTGGACCGCGAATACGACTGAAGTCAGTGGCCATGACGGCGTTCACGAAGGACGTCATCTGGGCCACAAAGGCATCACCCCCATCGATAGAGAGCAGATCATGGTGCACTGCCCGCAGAACCCAGTCTGTGGCCTTCGCAATGGAGGTGGTCAATACCTCAAGATCGCCAGGAAGATCCTCGACTGTGTCTCGGAACTTCAAGGCGTATTGACCTAGGAGTAGGTCGACGGAGGGGTCCCTCAAGACCTCCTCCCCTCCCTGAGTGCCCTCAACCTCCATCTCCTGGGGGTGGGCCGTCCCTGAGTCAGACTCATCTGCGGACAAATGGGTAGAGCCCGTGGTGGAACGGGACCTGCGGCGGGGCGACGTGTGGCGAGATCGAGCTGGCACGACTCGAGTATGTGGCCCTAGTCGAGGTAGGGTCAGGCGAGATTGGCGAGGCATCACCGCCAAAAGACGATGAGCCAGCGACCGATGGTGGTATTGCTGGTGGGGCGGAGCCCGAGTCCCCTCCATGACGGCTCCTAGGAACCGCCCCGGGGGGCCTCGCGCCCCGACCTCTCGGTGGGAGGTCGGACATGGTTTGCAGATGCGGTGCGAACGTTCAGGCTGAGTGGTCTGACTGTAAGATAACGCGGTAGACGATGTGCGAGACGATGAGCTGGTTGTTTGCGCGTGTTTACAAGTGGGCGTTCGAGAGAAAGAGGTGTTTCCCAGGGTTCCGCTATGCCAGCGCTGCTGGAAGTGGGGCCACCCCACTGTCGCCTGCAAGGCGAAACAACTCTCTTGCCCTATCTGTTCAGGTCCGCACGAGCAGAAGGAGCACCGTCAACATGCAGGATGTTGCAAGGGCAACACGAAAGGCGAAACCCCCTGTGCTACCCACCCCTCGCGACCAGCCTTGCCCCCATTTTTGTCCTGAATTTTTTTTTTTTTTTTATCAACAATTTATATAGTGGTGCTCAATGGCAGCCCGCTCGCTATCTACAAACACGTACGCTACGCAGCCTGGTTACTAAGTTAACTACTAAAAGACGTCCGCCCCCCCAACCACGAGCCTTATGGCTCAAACGCTTAAACTCCCATAAAGCCAGACCCACCTTGCGAAAACAGTGATGTGGGATAAGGGAAAGAGACCATCGAGGCCCCGCTAAACCCCAGAGCTGTCGGACGCTGTTCGGAGGCCACGCAGCGCAAATGAAATAAGAGAGCACCACCCAGGAGGTGGCAGGGTGTCTTGAGGCTGACCAGCCAGAGAAGCGCCTGCCCGAGACCAGACGCAGAGAGTTAGCGGCGCCGCGACCTACTATAATAGCGGCCACTAGCGTGAAGAAATAGCGGTGGGCGCAGGTCTCCGAACCCTAAGGTCCGAGGGTATCAATTCACTGATAAATCCTCCAAAAGGAGGAATAACCCCACCCACAGCAATTATCCAACACCTGAAGGGTCCCAGTTGAAGCCAAACGCCGTGGGGTTGTACTTCATAAAAGATGCAATATCCCCAAGAAAGCGGGGGTAATGCACGGAGTAGCGATCGCGACAGCGAAAGAGAACATGCTGACGGGACTGCAAAGCAGCCCCGCAAGTGCAGCCATGAGGCTCGTTGATCTTGAAGCAACGGTAATACGCTCCAATGGGCGCGTGGCCAGTTATACACCGGCAAACGTGGGCGAACTCAGTGATACTGTGTCCGAATGTTGAAAGCCAAGGTCCCCCATTGAGGTACGATGGCTGTAGCAGCTGCCCGTCAGGCTGTTGAAGCTCTAAGAATTCAGAGCCTCGGTAGGTTGGATCCTGGAAAGTGGAGCTCCACGAATCCAGGACTGAGTGCGTGGCTCATGAGCGTAGCGTGTCTATAGAGTTGTCCGTCTTGCGACGTCCAACCCTGACTTTGAGTTTGGTGACGTACTTGTGTGCCTCACCGTGGATATCCCACCGCAGAGCGGACGGGACGTAAACGAAGGTAATGCGGCGGAGATCGTCCACCTCAAACCACTCTTGAAGAGCACGACAGACTGACAGGCTAAAAGCCTGACCAGAGTGCATGCCAGGGTCAACCGCTCTATGGGCCGAGCCCATAGAGTCAGTAAAGACCATAATATGTTGGCAGTTTGCCTGCTTGACAGCAAGGCGCACTGCGCACGAGATGGCATTGAGTTCCGCATCAGGGGCGGTAACTCTGCCAGAGACATAGCAAGTCCTTTCGAGCTTGCGGTGTCCCTTGTAGATGATGGCAGCCGAAGCCGCCTGATACTGGTTGGACTGAGGGACAGAGCCATCAGTTGCAGCCAGTACTGTTACAGGGTTGGCCCTCACTTTTGCGATGAGCTTGTCTAGATATGGGCGCCTATCCTGGGTAGGATCGTGCTCGTCAAAGTGGAGACGGTCCGCATAGCGGTCCAGTAACCAATCGCCCAGGCAAGCTTTGGGCGCAAAGGGCTCGAAGCTCTCAGTTAAGGTGTGGACACACTCGTCCACCTCCATGACAGTACTCTTGACTTTCCCTTGCATAGCTGGGGTCATCAAGGCAGCTGAGTGGGCATGTGGTACAGCCCGTTTAAGAAGTCCCTCGCCCATCATGGAGCGAAGAGGATGAGTGTCCAAGAGGGTGGCGACGTGATACACTGCACGTGTTGCCAACTTCTTCAGCATAAGGTGGACAGGGATGAGACCAGCGAGGGCCTCAAGACCGCCTGTAGGGGAGTTGCGGAAAGCACCCGTGATCCATAGAGCAGCTTTTCGCTGCATCCGTTTCAGCTGGTTCATCGCGCCCTTATTGCGGGCGCCATCGAAATACCATAGACGATAGCCATATGTGGCAATGGGAACCACACACGACCGATATAGGAGTCAGCGCTGTTTAGGCGAAAGACCTCTAGTGGAGTTGCCGAGCATGCGCATGGCCTGCACAGTGGTGAACGCCTTGGTGGCATAGTAGAGGACGTGCTCATGAAACGTAAGCCTGCGGTCAAAGTAGAAGCCCAAGTACCTCCAATAGGTCTTGGGCTTCAAAGGTGTAGCGCCGGTATGTGGGGCGTACCCCAGATCCAGCGAGGGATTGTAGGCATCTCGTCGACACGAAAAGTGGAACAGCTCGGTCTTGTCATGTTCAAGAACGAGTGCGAAGGCAACAAAGAGAAGGTAGATAATCTTGTAGGCCTTACGCAGGCCCACATTATTATCATCGAGTTGTTTGGATTGGGCCAAAATGGTCCTGTCATCCACAAAGGAGAGTAGCGTCGTATTAAGCAGCGCCGCCTTGATGTAGAAGAGCTTCATTACCGGAGCAATGAACAGCCCAGAGATAACAGGCGAGAGAGCTGAGCCCTGCCCGACACCCACGTCCGCAGACTGCAGGTTGGATTGGAAGGTGTTCTAGCAGTAAACTGTGGAACAACCAACAAGATAAGAGGCAAAGAACTCCACCAGAACTGGCGAGAACCCTTGCTTGCGAAGTACAGCCATGAACATCTCATGGTTGATAGAAGGGAAGAACTGCGCGATGTCAAAAGCCAGCGCGCTAGTCTGGAGACCCTTAACCCACCCCGCTCGCACGAGATGGGTCAGAATCAATCCAGCATCCTCAGTTGACCTCTGGCAAATACCGCCTAGTTGGTTGGGATGGAAGATATCATGCTTGACCACGTCAAACTGTATCCTATTGGCAATCATCTTTTCGATAAGTTTACCGAAAGTGATGAGGAGTACGATTGGCCTGAAGGCCTTCGACACAGCATAGGAGGGCTTATGCGGCTTTGGGACGATAACCGATAGCGACTCCTTGAATATACGCGGCCAGTGGCCCACCCGAAGCAGTACTTTGTGGTCCCCCACAGAGTGCTATAGAACTCCACTGTGGAGTTGGCATATTATGCAGTGGAGTCCAGTGGAGTCCAGTAAGAAGGTATAGTGGAGTTCAGTGGAGTCCAGTGGAGTCCAGTAAGAAAGTATACTGGACTCTACTGGAGTGTAATACTGGAGTCTTACTAGAGTCTCACTGGACTCCAGTATATGTATCAAAATAGACTACTAACCAGTACCTATTACACATCAGAATAGATAATAGTCTGTTGGACCATTCCCCAAGTCCAGCATATAGAATATGTAACAAGATGCTTAACAATCAATTTTTTTTAGGAAAAAACATGTAGAGCACCTTTGGCCGACCCTGAATCAAGTTATTTGATGTCATTAGCTGCTCTGCTTGGCAAGAAAAATGCAAAATACTGAAAAAGTAGATTACTTTTGCAAATTTTGGCATTATTTGGCTTATATCTTGTCATTAATAGAGCCAAATACCATCACTCAAGTGGATTCAGGATCATTGTTTATTGCAATTATTTTCTCCTAAAAAGAAATTTTCTCACAGTCATGTGACCTGCATATCTCATATTGTTAGCACCCCTAGTCCCTGTGTAGATAGAGCACATTTTGGCAAAATCCAATTTGTCACATGTGACTCTGATATTGATGTCATCAGCAAACTTGATAGCTTTATTACTTTTCATCAATGCCAAGTCTGGGCCTAGCAATCATATATTTATTAATTGTTTCTATTTGAGGCCATAACATCAAAGTTTCAGAAGCTGACTCTGAAGGAATAGGCAAATAACAAGTCATGTGACTGGCCATCAATCTTGGCATCAGTCTTCTATGACTATAACATCTCTCTGCATTGTTCACTGGACTCCACTGAAGTCCTATAGGAGTCCAGTGGAAGATGGACACTCCACTCCAGTATACTCCAGTGAACTCCTGTAGACTTTGGGTGGTGACTCCAGTGGACTCCAGTGAGCTCCACTGGAGTCCCCTCAGTCCAACCAGTATCAGGCGGCTTCGGCTGCCATCATCTACAAGGGACATTGTGAGCTTGAAAGGACTCGCTATGTCTCTGGCAGAGTTACCGCCCCAGATGCAGAACTCAATGCCATCTCGTCTGCAGTGCGCCTTGCTGTTAAGCAGGCGAACTGCCAACATATTATAGTCTTTACTGACTCTATGGGCTCAGCCCATAGAGCAGTCGACCCTTCCGTGCACTCTGGTCAGGCTTTTAGCCTGTCAGTTTGTCGCGCTCTCCAAGAGTGGTTCGAAGCGGATGACCTCCGCTGCATCACCTTCGTCTACGTCCCATCTGCTCTGCGATGGGATATTCATGGTGAGGCACACAAGTACGTCACCGAACTCAAAGTCAGAGTTGGACGTCGCAAGACGGATAATTCTATAGACGCGCTACGCTCACGAGCCGCGCACTCAGTCCTGGATTTGTGGGGTTCCACTTTCCAGGATCCAACCTACCGAGGCTCTGAATTCTTAGAGCTTCAACAGCCTGACGGGCGGCCGCTACAGCCATCGTACCTCAATGGGGGACCTTGGCTTTCAACATTCGGACACAGTATCACTGAGTTCGCCCGCGTTTGCCGGTGCATAACTGGCCACGCGCCCATTGGAGCGTATTACCGTCGCTTCAAGATCAATGAGCCTCATGGCTGCACTTGTGGGGCTGCTTTGCAGTCTCGCCAGCATATTCTCCTTCGCTGTCGCGATCGCTACTCCGTGCATTACCCCCGCTTTCTTGGGGATATTGCATCTTTTATGAAGTACAACCCCACGGTGTTTGGCTTCACCCGGGACCCTTCGGGGGTCGGATAATTGCTGCGGGTGGGGTTATTCCTCCTTTTGGAGGATTTATTGGTGAATTGACACCCTCGGACCTTAGGGTTCGGAGACCTGCACCCATTTCACTCCTTCGCGCCTGCGGCCGCTATTGTAGCGGGTTGCAGCACTGCTAACGTTCTGCGTCTGGTTTCGGGCAGGCGCTTCTCTGGCTTGTTGGCCTCAAGACACCCTGCCACCTCCCGGGTGGTGCGATTCTTATCTCATTTGCGCTGCGTGGCCTCCGAACAGTGTCCGACGACTTTGGGGTTTAGCAGGGCCTCGATGGTCTCCTCCCCTTATCCCGTGTCACCGTTTTTGCGAGGTGGGTCTGGCTTTATGGGAGTTTAGGTGTTTGAGCCATAAGGCTCGTGGTTGGGGGGGCGGACGTCTTTCAGTAGTTTACTTAGTACCCAGGCCGCGTAGTGTACGTGTTTGTAGATAGCGAGTGGGCTGCCATCGAGCACCGCTATATAAATTGTTGATCAAAAAAAAAAAAAAAAAAGTCACTTTTCCAACCTTTAACAACAGCCTCATCAAATGTTCTATTGGCATGCTCTGCTACACCATTCTGCTGGGGTCTATTTCAACATGAATGCTCTCTTGCAATCGCACATTGGTCCATAAACTTGTGGCACCCATTTCGCTTGATCTTCTTTCCAGTGTGATTCTCAGCATAAGCTTTCAAGGTTTTGAATGCCTCAAAGGTATCACTCTTTTTATGGAGTGGAAGAAGCATTTTGAACTGAGAATAATCATCAATAAACGAAATCCAATAGCGATGTCTTTTTGTTTATCAACAATTTATATAGTGGTGCTCGATGGCAGCCCGCTCGCTATCTACAGAACATATATGCTACAAGACCTGGTTACTAAGTTAAGTACTTAAACACGACCGCCCCCCCAACCAAGACCCTTCTGGTGTATACGCTGAAACTTCCTGGAGGGCAACCCACCTTGCAAAAGCAGTGCATCAGGGGAGGAAACCATCGAGGTTCCACTATGCCCCATAGTCATCGAACGCTGTTTGGGGGCCTGGCAGCGCAATTAAAATAAAACAGCACCACCCAGGAGGTGGCAGAGTGTCTTGAGGCCGACAAGCCAAAGATGTGCCTGCCCAAAACCAGATGCAGAAAGTTATGTTAAAGGTTGGAAAAGCGACCAGACAGGGGATTGAACCCTGGACCATCTGGTATATACCAGCAGCTCTAACCACTGAGCTACCTGGCCATTGGGAACACTAAACTGGAATGTAATGACCACACAACCAATGACTGCACCAAGTCTACAATGACCCATTCTGGTCTTCCAAATGACTTGCAGTGCTAGCCTTCCAATACCCCTAACTTGGGGTTAACCAAAGTGGTCAGATTACACCCAGTTTTTAACAAGTTAGCAGCGCCGCAACCTGCTATACTAGCGGGCCACGAGCGTGAAGAAATAGTTGTGGGCGCAGGTCTCTGAACCCTAGGGCTCGAGGGTGTCAATTCACTGATAAATCCTCCAAAAGGAAGAATAACCCCGCCTGCAGCGATTATCTGACACCCAAGGGGTCCTGGTTGAAGCCAAACACCGTAGGGTTGTACTTCAAAAACAATGCAACATCCCCGAGAAAACGGGGATAGTGTTAGTGTACAGAATATCTATTGCGGCAGCAAAAGAGGACGTGCTGGCGGGACTGCAAGGCAGCCCCACAAGTGCAGCCATGAGGCTCATTAATCTTGAAGCGATGGTAGTACACTCCAATGGGCACGTGGCCAGTTATGCACTGGCAGACGTGAGCAAACTCAGTGAGACTGTGTCCGAAGGTTGAGAGCCAAGGTCCCCCATTGAGGTACGATGGCTGAATTGGCTGCCCGTCAGGCCATTGAAGCTCTAACAATTCAGAGCCTCGGTAAGTCGGATCCTGGAAAGTGGAACTCCACGAATCCAGGACTGAGTGCGCGGCTCGAGAGTGCAGCACGTCTATAGAATTGTCCGTCTTGCGATGTCCAACCCTGACTTTGAGTTCAGTGACATACTTGTGTGCTTCACCATGAATGTCCCACCACAAAGCAGATGGAACGTAAATGAAGGTGATGCGGCAGAGGTCATCCGCTGCAAACCACTCCTGGAGTGCGCAACAGACTGACAGACTGAAAGCCTGGCCAGAGTGTATGGAGGGGTCTACCACTCTATGGGCCGAGCCCATGGAGTCCGTAAAGACCATGATATGTTGGCAGTTTGCCTGCTTGACAGCAAGGCGCACTGCGCACACAATGGCATTGAGTTCCGCATCAGGAGTGGTCACTCTGCCAGAGACATAGTGGGTCTTTTTGAGCTCACGGTGTCCCTTGTAGATGATGGCAGCCGAAGCTGCCTGATACTGATTGGACTGAGGGACAGAGCCATCAGTTGCAGCCAGTACTGTCAAAGGGTCAGCCCTCACTTTCGCGATGAGCTTGTCTAGATATGGGCGCCTATCCTGGGTAGGATTGCGCTCGTCAAAATGGAGACGGTCTGCAAAACGGTCCAGTAACCGATCACCAGGGCGAGCTTCAGGCACAAAGGGCGTGAAGCTCTCAGTTAAGGTGTGGACACGCTCATCCACCTCCATAATGGTGCTCTTGACTCTCCCTCGCATAGCTAGGGTCATCAAGGCAGCTGAGTGGGCATGTGGTACAGCCCGCTTGAGGAGTCTCTCGCCCATCATGGAGCATAGAGGGTGAGTTTCCGAGAGGGTGGCAACACAGTACACTGCACATGTGGCCAACTTCTTCAGCATAAGATGGACGGGGATGAGACCTGCCAAGGCCTCAAGACCGCCTGTGGGCGAGGTGCGGAATGCACCTGTGATCCAAAGAGCAGCTTTCTGCTGCATCCATTTGAGCTGGTTCATGGTGCCCTTGTTACAGGCACCATCAAAATACCAGAGACAAGAACTGTACGTGGCAATAGGAACCATGCAAGATCTATAGAGGAGGTGCTGCTGTTTAGGCGAGAGACCTCTAGTGGAGTTCCCGAGCATGCACATGGCCTGCATGGTGGTGAATGCCTTGGTGGCATAGTAGCAAATGTGCTCATGAAAGGTGAGCCCACGGTCAAAGTAGAAGCCCAAGTACCTCCAATAGGTCTTGGGCTTCAAGGTGTAGCGCCGGTATGTGGGGCGTACCCCAGATCCAGCAAGGGATTATAGGCGTCTCGCCGACATGAAAAGTGGAACAACTCGGTCTTGTCGTGTTCAAGAACGAGCGCAAAACCAACAAAGAGAAGGTAGATAATTTTGTAGGCCTTACGCAGGCCCACATTATTATCATCGAGTTGTTTGGATTGGGCCAAAATGGTCCCATTGTCCACAAAGGAGAGTAGCATTGTGTTGAGTGGCACCACCTTAATGTAGAAGAGCTTCATCACTGGAGCAATGAAAAGCCCTGAAATAACAGGCGAAAGGGCTGTATACTCTGAATGTCTCCAAGCACTCGTCCGTCCACCAGGACTTGGAGCACTTGGTAGCTTTGGACTTGGTCGAGTGGGCAAGCCATGCGTCCAAGAACGCTGTCACGATAGCATCGGCTAAAGCTTCAATGCCTTCCTTGGTTGCCAGGGCTGCGACAGGAATAGTTGCAAGATCCCAGAGAATGTCTGAAATGAAAGACTTCTCAGCCTCGCTTCTGGGTTTAATTGTCCATTGCCCAGATCCAGGTGGTTCGGGACCGATATCAAGATCCGTACAGATCAGGACATGATCTGACGGACCCTGGAGATCGTGCTCCAATCTGGGCATCGAGATCAAGATCTCAGATGGAGCTAAGAATACAAGATCCAACACATTGGATCTCTGGTTTGGATTGGGACTGATCCTTGTTGGTCCGTGGTCAGAAGGTCATGCCCATTCAAGGCCAATCTGAGATGCAGTGTCCTGCAGGGATATTGCCGTCGACGATTCGCCATGCTCATAGTCATCCCAAGTCGTCGAAATGCAGGTAAAATCACCAGCCATATAAATGAAAGGCGGTAGAGAGTGCACCTGAGCAGCAAGGTGCTTGATGGCTGTGTGTTGATTGTCCGAATAGATGTTCATGAGATTGAGGACCTCACCCCCGCTGAAGAGGGAGAGGACAAGAATGTCGCGATGGTCCATGATGTCGCAGTGCATAGCGGGACGATAGTGGGACAGCCTAGTCGAAACATAGGCAATCATGTGAGGGACTTCGCCCTCCTTAACACGTACCATTTGCAACCAATCTGGATGCTTCGGTGTGCCAATAACCTCATTGCCCTCCATACTAATGGTGGACAGTGCATGTCTTATGAAATTCCAGGGTCTTTCTTGGAAAAATAGAATATTGAATTTGGTCTTACAAATTTTGAGCAAAGTATCGACATGGGCATAGACAAGGAGGGCATAGTAGGCAACAACAAACCAGTGGACCAGTAGTGGACAGAAACACTTGTCATTACTGCAGGCAAAAGGGTCATTGGAAAATTGACTGTCCTACCTTGAAGGCAGCCAAAGAGAAAGAGGGATCACAGAAGGCTCAAGGAGAGAAGGCAGCAGCAGTCACAGAATTTGCTGGTCAGGCAAGTGCTGTTTCTGAGTTCGAGGCATATTCTACTTCGTCTAACGTATTTCATTGGAACACAGACACAGGGGCCACTTCTCATATGACCCCACATAAAAGTTGGATTCGCAATTATACCCCTTATAGAGTGCCAATTAGGCTAGCAGACCATAGAATTATCTATTCAGATGGTGTTGGAAGTGTCTTGTTTCGTCCTTTGATTAACGGAAAGCAGAGTAGAGATGTAGAATTGTCTAGAGTATTGCACATACCTGCCCTTTGTAATAATCTTCTTGCTGTCCTATACTTGACTCAGCATAAAAGCTTTGATGTACATATTTCTGGATCTGGAATGAATTTCTTGCACAACTTGGATTTACTGTTCACTGCAACCATTAAAGATGGTACTGGATACTTAGATGGACAAACTGTTGATATTCATGAAAATGTACATCTTGCTTCAATGCTGCCTCTTGACTTGACCTTGTGGCATAGACAGCTTGGACACCACAACCATGATGGGATTTGAAAGATGATCAATGGAAACATGGTTGATGGATTAGTACTGGACTCAAAGGCAAAGCCTGATCCTATTTGTGAGCCATGTCTTGCTGGGAAGATGCATGCAAACCTATTCCCTTCATCAGAAACTAGGGCAACCGAGTTGTTGGAATTGGTTCATTCAGACATACACAAAGTGGGCTCCAAATCATTGTCTGGACATCACTATTGGAATGCCTCTTTCTCTCGAACGCCCACTTGTAAACACATGTAAACAACCAGCTCACTGTCTCATTCGTTGTCCAACGTGTTATCTACCAGTCAGACCACCCCGCCTGATCGTTCGCCCCGCCTCAGCAAACCATGTCCGACCTCCCACTGAGAGGTCAGGGCACGAGACCCCCTGGGATTCATCGCAGGGGCTCAGGCTCCGCTCCACCAGCTCATCCACCAACATTGGTCGCTGGCTCATCATCCTTGGGCGGTGGTGCCTTGCCAATATCGCCAGACCCTACCTCAACTAGGGCCACATACTCGACCATCGTGCCAGCTCCATCCCACCACACATCGCCTCATTGCAGGTCCCGTTCCACCATGGGTTCCGCCCATTCGTCTGCAGATGAGTCTGACTCAGGGACAGCCCACCCCCAGGAGATGGAGGTCGAGGGCGCTCAGGAAGGCGAAGAGGTCTCAAGGGACCCCTCCGTTGACCAACTTCTAGGTCAATACTCCTTGAAGTTCTGAGACACTGTCAAGGATCTTCCAGGGGATCTTGAGGTATTGACCACCTCCATTGCGAAAGCCACGGATTGGATTCTGAGGGCTGCGCATCATGATCCGCTCTCCATCGATGGGGGTGATGCCTTCGTGGCTCAGATGACGTCCTTTGTGAACGCTGTCATGGCCACCAACTTTAGTCGCATTCGTGGACCAGGTGAACTCGACAACTTCTCACTCGCCTCCCTTCTCGAGGCTGAGATATCCTCCAAGGATGAGCCAACCATACACCTGGCTCCCGTTTTCCAACCTCCTCCCCCTGCTGCCTGTGGGCCGCTTGATGAGGGTGCCAGCATTGGAGTTTCTTCTGATGTCCTCATGCAGGCATTGGATGACCTAGGTCACCTGGCCTCCCCTCCTCGCATCCCCGCTTCCAAGAAGCGCAAGGGTGTCGATCGTCCGGTGCCACCTGCTCCTCAGAAGAAGAGTAAGGTCGCCTACTCCTGCCCTGGTCCACCTCCACCGATCAATCGCACTACCAAACCCAAGCCCCATCCAACGACGTGGGCAGGGATTGCTCATCAGGCCGCGCCGATGCCTCCCCCGCCTCCTGGCTTGGGACCACAACGTTGCAGGCCTTCTCCTCCACCCGCATTCTTGACAGGGCCAATGAAGACTTCTCCTCATCAATCCGTCCCTTCTTTTACTTCCAAGGGCCCCACCCAGAAGCAAGTTCTTGTGTCATTTGGGGGTATCCCTCCTGACCTCACGAAGTTCTTCACCGAGTCGGCCGTCCGTGCGGCCAACAGGTACCTCAGGGATGGTCAATCTATGTTGAAGGTCACCTCCATCGTCCGTGCCTACGATGGTTTGTCATTGGTCACCTCCGCTGTTGCCAGCCCATCCGACCTGGACATACTGCGCAACTTCATCCATGAGAGCCTCCCAACAGGTACCCCGTTTGAGGTTGCACTCCCATTGTTGACGTCTTTTATAAAGATCCTCGACCCAGGAGGCGCTTGAAAAGGCCCTCCACACCTTGGTTCATGCTGAGGTTTTTGCATATCTGAGCACCAAGCCTCGGATAGATCGCAACTCCACGCACTCGACATCGTGCATGGTCTTTTTTTTTTTTTTTTTTTTTTTTTTTGATCAACAATTTATATAGCGGTGCTCGATGGCAGCCCGCTCGCTATCTACAAACATGTACGCTACACAGCCTGGTTACTAAGTTAACCACTAAAGGACGACCGCCCCCCCAACCAAGACCCTTTGGGTTCAAACGCCGAAACTCCCCAGAGGGCAACCCACCTTGCGAAAACAGTGCATCGGGATAAGGGGAGGAAACCATCAAGGTTCTGCTATGCCCTAAATCCCCCAAGAGGAGGAATAACCCCGCCCGCAACGATTACCCGACACCTGAGGGGTCCTGGTTGAAGCCAAACGCTGTGGGGTTGTACTTCATAAAAGATGCAATATCCCCAAGAAAACGGGGGTAATGCACGGAGTAGCGGTCGCGACAGCGAAAGAGGACGTGCTGGTGAGACTGCAAAGCAGCCCCACAAGTGCAGCCATGAGGCTCATTGATCTTGAAGTGATGATAATATGCTCCAATGGGCGCGTGGCCAGTTATACACTGGCAAACGCGGGCGAACTCAGTGATACTGTGTCCGAAAGTTGAAAGCCAAGGTCCCCCATTGAGGTACGATGGCTGTAGCGGCCGCCTGTCAGGCTGTTGGAGCTCCAAGAATTCAGAGCCTCGGTAAGTTGGATCCTGGAAAGTGGAACTCCATGAATCCAGGACTGAGTGTGCCGCTCGAGAGCGTAGCGCATCTATAGAGTTGACCATCTTGCGACGTCCAACCCTGACTTTGAGTTCGGTGACGTACTTGTGTGCCTCACCATAGATATCACCGCAAAGCAGAGGGAACATATATAAAGGTGATGTGGCAGAGATCATCTGCCTCAAACCACTCTTGGAGAGTGCGACAAACTGAGAAGCTGAAAGCCTGACCAGAGTGCACGGAAGGGTCGACTGCTCTATGGGCTGAGCCCATAGAGTCAGTAAAGACTATAATATGTTGGCAGTTTGCCTGCTTGACAGCAAGGCACACTGCACACGAGATGGCATTGAGTTCTGCATCGGGGGTGGTGACTCTGCCAGAGACATAACAAGTCCTTTCGAGCTCGCAATGTCCCTTGTAGATGATGGCTGCCGAAGCTGCCTGATACTGGTTGGACTGAGGGACAGAGCCATCAGTCACAGCCAGTACTGTTAAAGGGTCGGCCCTCGCCTTCGCGATGAGCTCGTCTAGATATGGTCGCCTATCCTGGGTAGGATCGCGCTCGTCAAAGTGGAGACGGTCCACATAGCGGTCCAATAACCGATTGCCTGGGCGAGCTTCAGGCGCAAAGGGCTCAAAACTCTCAGTTAAGGTGTGAACACGCTCGTCCACCTCCATGACAGTGCTCTTGACTTTCCCTCGCATGGCTGGGGTCATCAAGGCGGCTGAGCGGGCATGTGGTGCGGCTCGCTTAAGAAGTCCCTCGCCCATCATAGAGCGAAGGGAGTGGGATTGTGCATGGTCTACTGCAACCTTTGGGACTCCCAGCAGGGGACCCACGCCAAGAAGGCCCTTGCCCAACCAATTTTCCTTGCTGGGCGGTCCTATGCAATCAGGCCTGCTGCGCAACACACCGGGGTTCCACTTTGCCACTGCTGCTGGAAGTGGGGCCACCCCACCGTCGCCTGTAAGGCGAAGCAACTCTCCTGCCCTATCTGTTTGGGTCCGCATGAGCAGAAGGAGCACCGTCAACATGCGGGATGTTGCAAGGGGAACACGAAAGCAAAGCCCCCTGTGCCACCCACCCCTCATGACCAGCCCTGCCCCCACAAGGGCCGCTGCGTCAATTGCCACAAGGACCATGCCGCCAACTCGGCTTTGTGCAAGTTCTGGGCCCATCGCTACGACCGTGAGTGGATCATGGCCGAGTATCGTCAGGTATGCGAGCATGCTGCTGCTCGCCGCCAACTTACTAACCCCCGAACCTAGACTAATGTTGGGAAACCAGCAGGATCTAAGTAGCGGGTTATGTATTTATTGTCAGAACATTCGCCATACCTATGCCCACGTCGATACATTGCTCGAAATTTGTAAAAACAAATTTGATATTCTATTTTTCCAAGAAACACCCTGGAACTTTATAAGACATGCACTGTCCACCACTAGCATGGAGGGTGATGAGGTTATTGGTGCACCAAAGCATCCGGATTGGCTGCAGATGGTGCGCATTAAGGAAGGGGAAGTTCTCCGTGTGATCGCCTATGTTTCGACTAGGCTCTCCCGCTATCATCCTGCTATGCGCCGCGACATCATCGACCATTGCGACATTCTTGTCCTCTCCCTCTTTAGCAGGGGCGAGGTTCTTAATCTAATGAACGTCTACTCTGACGATCAACACAAAGCCATTGAGCACCTTGCTGCTCATGTGCATTCTCTACTGCCTTTCATTTATATGGCTGGTGATTTTAACCGCGTTTCGACGACTTGGGATGACTATGAGCATGGCGAGTTGTCGACGGCAATATCCCTGCAGGACACCGCATCTCAGATCGGCCTCGAGTGGGCACGACCTTTTTTTTTTTATCAACAATTTATATAGCGGTGCTCAATGGCTGATCTACAAACACGTACGCTACGCGGCCTGGGTACTAAGTTAACTACTTAAAGACAACCGCCCCCTCAACCAAGACCCTTCTGGTGTATACATCGAAACTTCCTGGAGGGCAGCCCACCTTGCAAAAACGGTGCATCGGGATAAGGGGAAGAAACCATCGAGGTTCCGCTATGCCCCAAAGTCATTGATCGCTGTTTGGAGGCCACGCAGTGCAAGTGAGATAAAACAGCACCACCCGGGAGGTGGCAGGGTGTCTTGAGGCCGACAAGCCAAAGGTGCGTCTGCCCAAAACCAGACGCAGAAAGTTAGCGGTGTTGCGACCAACCAAAAAGGTCAACCACCTACACGAAAGAGTTGTCGCGGGCGCAGGTCTTCGAACCCTAGAGTCTGGTGGTGTCAATTCACCATAAATCCCCCGAAAGGAGGAACAACCCCACCCACAGCGATTATCTGACACCCAAAGGGTCCCGGTTGAAGCCAAACACCATAGGGTTGTACTTCATAAACGATGCAATATCCCTGAGAAAATGGGGATAGTGTACAGAGTATCGATCACAGCAGCGAAAGAGGATATGCTGACGGGACTGCAATGCAGCCCTGCCAGTGCAGCTGTGAGGCTCATTGATCTTGAAGTGACAGTAGTACGCTCCAATGGGCGCATGGCCAGTTATGCACCAGCAAACGCGAGCGAACTCAGTAATACTGTGTCCGAAGGTTGAAAGCCAAGGTCCCCCATTGAGGTACGATGGCTGAATTGGCCGCCCATCAGGCTGTTGAAGCTCTAAAAATTCAGAGCCTCAGTAAGTTGGATCCTGGAAAGTGGAACTCCACAAGTCCAGAACTGAGTGCGCAGCTTGAGAGCGGAGCGTGTCTATAGAATTGTCCATCTTGCGATGTCCAACCCTGACTTTGAGTTTGGTGACTTACTTGTGTGCCTCACCATGGATGTCCCACAATGCAAGTGGGCACGGACCGACGAGGATCAGTCCTAATCCAAACCAGAGATCCAATGTATTGGATCTTGTATTCTTAGCTCCATCTGAGATCTTAATCTTGATGCCCAGATTGGAGCACGATCTCCAGGGTCCGTCAGATCATGTCCTGATCTGTATGGATCTTGATATCGGTCCCGAACTGCCCGGATCTGGGCGATGGACAGTTAAACCCAGAAGCGAGGCTGAAGAAGAAGAGTGTTCTTTATTGATTTACAAGGATCATTTCGTACATGACCATAAGGGAACATCCAATCCTTGGGCTATCAACGGCGTGACCTAAGTAATACCCTAAGTGTCCGTGATCATACCAATTATCATGACATCCCGTAACTATTTACACTAATCAGGGCTTCGATATACCTAAGCATAAGATCGCGTATATTCGCACATAGTAACGCCCTAGCTCCCGAAAGCAGCCGTTCATGTGACCGGCATCCAACACAACCTCCCTATGGGTTTAGGTTTGTTCCATCATTCACGTGCCACACGGTTCTTTGGCGGTCCGTGTTAGGAGACGACTTTAGCCGTTTCGTGTAGTTTCACTCCCACCCTCCAGTACTTTTGGTATTAACGCCTCGGGGTCGGCTCTAGCCGTCTCGCTGGTTTGCTTTACGTACTCTGGGAAGTCAGCGCACCGAAACGCCCAGCAGGCTCCAGCAGATCATGTGAACCTTGTCCCGAAGGGTCGGCTCTAGCCGTCTCGCCGCATAGCGGCAGATCCACACAACCTTGTCCCTTGGCTCCCTATTTCCCTTCCTGGCATAGTCATTTTTTCGATGACTAAGGAGAACCAGGTGACCCTGATATCATTATGTGAGCATGCATAGGTACGGTCACTCCAGACCCTTGGGTCTAGAACACGCGAGACGTAGTCGCTCCCTAATACAGAGGCCCAGACGGTGTCATCCGGGGGCATGGAAAAGTCACATGGTGTCTAAAGTGTGTTTATCCATGCAACCAGCAAGAATCGAACTCAAGAGCTCAACGCAAGCCTGGGGGTAAGTTCGCAATAGTGCCACCTGAGCTACCACAACCCCAGAAGCGAGGCTGAAAAGTCTTTCATTTCGGACATTCTCCGGGATCTTGTGGCTATTCCCGTCGCAGCCCCAGCAACCAAGGAAGGTGTTGAAGCTTTAGCCAATGCTATTGCAATGGCGTTCTTGGACACGTGGCTTGCCTACTCGACCGAGTCCAAACCTACTAAGCGCTCCAAGTTCTGGTGGATGGATGAGTGCTTGGAGACCTTCGGAGTGTATCAGTTGAGTTGTTTGCTCACTGATTACAACAAGTTCAAGAAGGCGTGCAAGAACGCCAAGCGTGATTTCTTCGATGAACGTATCGCAGAGATTGCTACTTCTCACAAGCGCCTGTGGGACCTAATGGAATGGGTCAAACAGGGCAAACTACCACCCTGTGAGGCTATTCGTGATGGTGACCAGCCTTGCCATGATATGGACGACCTTTGGGACGCCCTACACAGCACATACAACTTGGCCTCGGGTCGCGAGTATGACGCTTCTGTTTTAGATGAGCTTCCTGACGAGCCAGTCCACGAGTGGGCTGACTTCTCGGACCATGAGTTGTTGAGTGCCCTTAAGGGGTGCTCTAACTCCTCTGCACCAGGACTGGACCATGTTACATGGGTCCACCTAAAGGAGTTGCTCGAGGATAGACATGTCCTTGTGCTCTTCATCGTGTTGGCCAACGCTTGCCTTCGGGTGGGTCATTGGCTGTGTATATTCAAGGAGTTGCTGTTGGTTATCGTCCCGAAACCAAACAAGCCCTCCTATGCAGTCCCAAAGGCTTTTAGGCCGATCATACTCCTCATCACTTTCGGTAAACTTATCGAAAAGATGATTGCCAATAGGATACAGTTTGACGCTGTCAAGCATGATATCTTCCATCCTAACCAACTTGGCGGTATCCGCCAGAGGTCCACTGAGGACGCTGGATTGATTCTTACCCATCTTGTGCGAGTGGGGTGGGTTAAGGGTCTCCAGACTAGCGCGCTGGCTTTTGACATTGCGCAGTTCTTCCCTTCTATCAACCATGAAATGTTCATGGCTGTCCTGCACAAGCAAGGGTTGTCCCTGGTATTGGTGTTCTTTGCCTCTTATCTTGTTTTTTTTTTTTTAATCAACAATTTATATAGTGGTGCTTGATGGCAGGCCGCTCGCTATCTACAAACACGCACGCTACACAGCCTGGGTACTAAGTTAACTACTTAAAGACGACCGCCCCCCCAACCAAGACCCTTCTGGTATATACATCGAAACTTCCTGGAGGGCAACCCACCTTGCAAAAACGGTGCATCAGGATAAGGGGAGGAAACCATCGAGGTTCCGCTATGCCCCAAAGTCATTGATCGCTGTTCAGAGGCCACGCAGTGTGAATGAAATAAGAAAAGCACCACCCAGGAGGTGGCAGGGTGTCTTGAGGCCGACGAGCCAAAGGTGCGCCTGCCTGAAACTAGATGCAGAAAGTTAGCAGCACCGCAACCTGCTATAATAGCGTACCGCAAGCATGTAATGACCTGAACAGAGGGGGGGACTTGGCCTCAGCATGCTCTTGTGCTGTGCCCCTACACATCATCTGGTTGTCCCCAATTTACAGGAACTGCCTTGGTCTTGACAAAGGAGAGACAAGAAGAAGTCATCCTGGCCAAGGCCCAGGAGACAGAGGATGAACAACAGAGCAGAGGGGTTGTCAAGGTTGAGATTCAAGCTGGGGAATCCAGTACACTACCTAGCTACTTATACTATTGAGAACAATGGAGAAGATCTAGGTTATGTAATGAATGCCAGCAGAACAATGACAGAGAACAATGAAGACAATAATGAATGAAAAATGAAAGTAAAGCCCATTGAAGAACCAGAACAATGAACAATGGAACAATAGAACAATGGGTTCAGGCATGGGATGTGACAAAGCACAAAGAAGCGAAGTGGGCACAGGTCTCAGAACCCTGAGGTTCGAGGGTGTCAATTCACCGATAAATCCTCCAAAAGGAGGAATAACCCCACCCGCAGTGATTACCTGACCCCCAAAGGGTCCCGGTTGAAGCCAAACGCCGTGGGGTTGTGCTTCAAAAACGATGCAATATCCCCGTTTTCTCGGGGATAGTGTACAGAATATCTATTGCAGCAGTGAAAGAGGACGTGCTGGCGGGACTGCAAGGCAGCCCCACAAGTGCAGCCATGAGGCTCATTAATCTTGAAGCGATGGTAGTACACTCCAATGGGTGTGTGGCCAGTTATGCACCAGCAGACGTGAGCGAACTCAGTGAGACTGTGTCCAAAGGTTGAGAGCCAAGGTCCCCCATTGAGGTACGATGGCTGAATTGGCTGCCCGTCAGGCCATTGAAGCTCTAACGATTCAGAGCCTCAGTATGTACAATCCTGGAACATGGAGCCCCATGCATCCAGACTTGAGTGCGCAGCTTGAGAGCGAAGCATGTCTATAGAATTGTCCGTCTTGCAACGTCCAACCCTGACTTTGAGTTCAGTGACATACTTATGTGCTTCACCATGGATGTCCCACCGCAGAGCAGATGGAATGTAGACAAAGGTGATGCAGCGGAGATCATCCGCCTCAAACCACACTTGGAGAGTGTGACAGACTGACAGACTAAAAGCCTGACCAGAGTGCACAGATGGGTCCACTGCTCTGTGGGCTGAGCCCATAGAGTCAGTAAAGACCATGATATGTTGGCAGTTTGCCTGCTTGACAGCAAGGCACACTGCACACGCAATGGCATTGAGTTCTGCATCAGGGGCGGTGACTCTGCCAGAGACATAGCAAGTCCTTTCGAGCTCGCAATGTCCCTTGTAGATGATGGCAGCCAAAGCCGCCTGATACTGGTTGGACTGAGGGACAGAGCCATCAGTCACAGCCAGTACTGTTAGAGGGTCGGCCCTCGCATTAGCGATGAGCTTGTCTAAGTATGGGCACCTATCCTGAGTGGGATTGCGCTCATCGAAATGGAAACGGTCTGCATAGCAGTCCAGCAACCGATCGCCTGGGTGAGCTTCGGGCGCAAAGGGCTCGAAACTCTCAGTTAAGGTGTGAACACGCTCGTCCACCTCCATGATGGTGCTCTTGACTTTCCCTCGCATGGCTGGGGTCATCAAGGCAGCTGAGCGGGCATGTGGTTTGGCCCGCTTAAGGAGTCTCTCGCCCATCATGGAGCAAAGAGGGTGAGTGTCTGAGAGGGTGGCAACACAGTACACTGCACATGTGGCCAACTTCTTCAGCATAAGATGGACGGGGATGAGACCTGCCAAGGCCTCAAGACCGCCTGTGGGTGAGGTGCGGAATGCACCTGTAATCCAAAGAGCAGCTTTTCGCTGCATCCATTTGAGCTGGTTCATGGCCCCCTTGTTACGGGCGCCATTGAAGTACCAGAGTTGATAACCGTATGTGGCAATGGGGACCACACATGATCTATAGAGGAGGCGTCGCTGCTTAAGCGAAAGTCCTCTGGTAGAGTTTCCGAGCATGCGCATGGCCTGCATGGTAGTGAACACCTTGGTGGCATAGTAGCGAACGTGCTCATGGAACGTGAGCCCGCGGTCAAAGTAGAAGCCCAGGTACCTCCAATAGGTCTTGGGCTTCAAAGGTGTAATGCCAGTATGCGGGGCGTACCCCAGATCCAGCGAGGGATTGTAGGTGTCTCGTAGACGCGAACAGTGGAACAACTCGGTCTTGTCATGTTCAAGAACGAGTGCGAAGGCAACAAAAAGAAGGTAGATAATTTTGTAGGCCTTACGTAGGCCCACATTATTATCATTGAGTTGTTTGGACTGGGCCAGAATGGTCCCGTCATCCACAAAGGAGAGTAACGTCATGTTGAGCGGTGCCGCCTTGATGTAGAAGAGCTTCATCACTGGAGCAATGAAAAGCCCTGAAATAACAGGCGAGAGAGCAAGCCCTGCCCGACACCCACGTCTGCAGACCGCGAGTCGGATTGGAAGGTGTTCCAACAGTAAGCTGTGGACCGACCCACTAGATAAGAGGCAAAGAAATCCACCAAGATTGGCGAAAATCCTTGCTTGCGAAGAACAGCCATGAACATCTCATGGTTGATAGAAGGGAAGAACTGCATGATGTCAAAAGCCAGCACGCTAGTCTGGAGACCCTTAACCCACCCCGCTCACACGAGATGAGTCAGAATCAACCCAGCATCCTCAGTCGACCTTTGGCAAATGCCACCAAGTTGGTTAGGATGGAAGATATCATGCTTGACAGCGTCAAACTGTATCCTATTGGCAATCATCTTTTCGATAAGTTTACCGAAAGTGATGAGGAGTATGATCGGCCTAAAAGCCTTTGGGACTGCATAGGAGGGCTTGTTTGGTTTCGGGACGATAACCAACAGCAACTCCTTGAATATACACAGCCAATGACCCACCCGAAGGCAAGCGTTGGCCAACACGATGAAGAGCACAAGGACATGTCTATCCTCGAGCAACTCCTTTAGGTGGACCCATGTAACATGGTCCAGTCCTGGTGCAGAGGAGTTAGAGCACCCCTTAAGGGCACTCAACAACTCATGGTCCAAAAAGTCAGCCCACTCACAGACCGGCTCATCAGGAAGCTCGTCTAAGACTGAAGCGTCATACTCATGACCGCAAAGCAGTTAACACCACGTGAAGGCAGGATAGACCCAGCCCGCAATGATTATCTGACCCCCGAAGGGTCCCAGCTGAAGCCAAACGCCGTAGGGTTGTACTTCATAAACGATGCAATATCCCCAAGACAATGGGGATAGTGTACAGAGTATCGATCACAGCAGCGAAAGAGGATGTGCTGGCAGGACTGCAAAGCAGCCCTGCAAGTGCAGCCATGAGGCTCATTGATCCACCTGTATCAGTTAGAAAAATATAGAATACAAGGCAATTTCCTAACTATGAATCTAAGCCCTGGAGGGCAATATGCTACCTTCTGCTTTGGGAAGGCTCTCCTAATAAGAGGGAGGGGTTGCCGGGTGCCTGGCATCTGCAAGGGTGATGAGGAGGGGGTAAATAAGTTAGTAAGCATCCATTTCCAGGGTGGGTGGGTGGTGCAGGAGGGGGTGGAATGGGGGTGGGATAGGCCAAGCAGGACCCCGGGGCACTGCAGAGAACTGGTCATGTGACCTGTTTGCTCTGCAGCCTCAACTGGGGCCGTTTTTTGTGAAAAAAGTGCCCAGGGCCATTATGTTACTGTATGTCATAAAAAAATCAGGAGAATCTGGGATGTGGAATGTTGCGAAACGGCGCGTATGAGGTGTCACCTTAACTTGGCGCGCATTTATTTTTAGCACAAGCTGCTAAATTGGGATCTGGCATCAAAATAGCCATTGCTGGCGCATTTCGGGCTCGTTTGGCTTCCCCCTGGGTGGAAATTGATGGGAACGATGACGCGATAATTTTTAGGGAATTCATAGCTACCTGTAGACACCCAGAACGTGTGAATACGACCATTTTTGGCGATGTTATGGCCTAAACTGTGCTTCTATGCACAAAAATGCGAAAATGCGCACCTAATGCTCTGCTTCTCATGCATCCCTGCCTCATAAAAACCAGCCAATAATTTAGTATGCTACTAGATCTTCAGAGCGAGCCAATAATAATGGCCTTGCATGCATTATTGGTTATGCAATGGGCCTTTCGATGTTTATGTACTAAAAACCCGAAAAATCGCACTCAAATCTCTATGCCATACATGTATCTATCCTTTCCAAAAATTATGCGTTCAGATAGAGGTTGATAAAGGCTACAAAACGCGCTATTCAGCGTCTCCACGCGTTCATTTGTTCCAAAGATATACCTACAACACTTCACAAGATACCAGAAAAATCGAAAATGTGCACTCTTATATCCCTTCAAGCAAAGCTGGGGTTATTCCTGTCACTCCAACATAATCTGAACACTATCCTAGCACCCTCCCTTCTTTTTCTGCCCTCAAGACTGTGTAGAAACACCCCAATTCCATGACCAAAGACACTTCCTCCTTCTTGCCTGGGGGGTTCCCACAATGTTGATGGTGGACATGGCATCCTTCTGGCATATCCTCTAGTGCCCAAAATCTCATCGGATAGCTCGGAATACCTACTATACTA